CACACATTAGTCAGCATTACTTGTGGATGGAAACTGCAAAAGAAGTGTGGGATAGTGTCACAGAGACCTATTCCCAAAAGCTTAATGTTGCTTGGGCCTAAAAATTGAAGCATGATGTGAATAATCTTAGACAGGGGGAGAAGCCCTTAGCAGTCTACTTCTCTATGCTGAAATCTCTTTGGCAAGAGATTGATTTGATGGAGACTATTGGTTGGGGTTGAACAAAGGATGCAGAAACATATAGGAGGTTGGTGGAGAGAAATCGAGTCTATGAGTTCCTCCCCGGACTCAACTCGGAGTATGATATTGTGAAGCATAATGTTTTAGCAAAAGATGAGGTGACTTTGTCTCAGGCATATGCTATGGTGAGCAGTGAGGAAAGCAGAAGACATGTTCAGCCTGTTGAGCCACATGTTGATCACTATGCTAATGCTGGGATGAAACCGAAGGTTAGCACTGGGAAGAAAGATGTTATCTATGAATACTACAAGAAGCCTAAATACACTAAAGACACATGTCGGAAGCTGCATCCATAACTCGTTCCTGCTAGATTCATGAAAGAAAATGGTGGAAAAAGGGTTGAAACTGGAAAAGGTGGAAATGCAAATGTAGCCACCTCTTCACAAGGTGAACAAGGACAGGGTGGAGAGAAGTCAGTGGGAGAACAGCTTGCAGCCGCTAGGGCTGAATATGAGAAGTATGGCCGAATCATCAATCACTTAGTTCACTGCTACAGCTCCTTCAAAGACTATTCCTTCCTCTACATATGCTCACTCAGGTATTCATCCCACTGCACATCATGCTTCTGTCTCAGGTACTCATAAAACCCCTTGGATAATTGATTCTGGTGCTTCTGACCATATGACCAGTGTTTTACAGTTATTCACCTCTTACCAACTTCTTTTTGGTTGAGACAAGATATCCCTTGCTGATGGCTCCCTAGCCCTTATCACGGGAAAGGGCTAGGTAGCCATATGTTCTCCATGTACCTAAACTTAATACCAATTTGCTTGTAGTTAGTAATTTGACTAAATCCCTGAATTGCAATGTGACATTTTTTCCTTCATATTGTGATTTTCAAGACATGGAATCTCAAAAGGTGATTGGGAATGGCCATGAGGCGAATGGGATTTATCTGTTAGACACACCTGAGTAGAGCCAAGTACAACTTAAGAGAACTGCATTTGTTTCAGAGTCCACTAGTTGTATTATGTTATGTCATATTCATTTGGGTTATTTGTCCTTTTCTTCATTGAGACAATTGTTTCCAGAGTTATTTAAAGGAATTAGTCTATCAAGTCTTTATTGTGAATCTTGTGAGTTCTCAAAGCATTGTAAGAGCACTTATCCTTCAAGTAATAAAAGATTAACTATTCCTTTTAATATTGTTCACTTTGATGTGTGGGGGCCTTACCATTTACCATGTATGGGTGGGTATAAATATTTCATCCTGTTTATTGATGATTTTTCACGATATAGTTGGATTTACCTTATGCGCTCTCGAGATGAAGTGCCTAAACTTGTGCAACAATTCCATGAACACATTCATTCAGTTTAATACTCGAATCAAAATATTCCGGTCAGACAATGCTAAGGAATATTTTGAGGACCTTACCTCCTTTCTTGAGAAGTTTGGGGTTATTCATTAGAGTTCTTGTGCCTGCACTCCACAACAAAATGTAGCGGAGAGGAAAAATAGACACATTGTGGAAGTTGCAAGGAGCATTATTTTTGCTACCCGTGTTCCTGTGAAGGTTTGGGGTGATGCAGTTTTAACAACTACCTACCTTATTAACCGCATGCCTTCTTAAGTCTTGGGGTTAAAATCTCCTTTTGGAGTCCTCTTTCCCGATGTTGAGATTTTCTCTATTCCTTTGGGGGTCTTTGGTTGCACTTGTTATGTCCATATTCCCAGTTCCAAAAGTACAAGTTTGACCCCAAGGCTCAGAAGTGTATCTTCCTTGGTTATGCCTCTACACAGAAAGGGTTTTGTTTTTATGATCCCATTAGTGGCACCCGGTTTGTTTCCATGGATGTCACCTTTGCAGAGCCAATTCCTTTTTATAGCCATCCTTCTGAGGGGGAGAGATCTCTCAAGTTGTTTTCTTTATCCCTTCCTTTGCTAACTCCAATTGAGTCTTGTGTCGAACCCTCCACAGTTACTCTCATTCCCTTGGAGGGATCCTCTCCTTTGAGGTCTTCCACTCCTGCTCCTCCCCCCCTCCTCCTATTCTCTAGAGGTGATACCAGCAGTAAAGGCTAAGGCAAACATAGGTTGATCCCACACTTCCAGTTGAGTCTCAGGCGCTCCCGATTACTGAAGAGAGGACATGTCCATCACCTCCTCCACCAACATCCTCATTTCCAAACCTTAACCTACCCATTGCTTTGAGAAAAGGTAAGAGGAAATGTACAACTCATTGTATTTCCAAACACCTTTCCTACAGCTTATTGTTCCCATCCTACTATGCCTTTCTAGCCTCCATTTCCTCTCAATCCATCCCAAAGTCTATTTTAGAAGCCTTAGCCACACCAGATTAGAGGGATGCTATGGGTACTGAAATATAAGCCCTTCATAAAAAAAATACCTAAGATATTGTTGACTTTCCAGCTGGGAAAGAACCTGTTGGGTGCAAGTGGGCTTTCACTATCAAGTATCATGTAGATGGGTCAATTGAGAGGTATAAAGCTTGGCTTGTTGCCAAGGGATATACCCAGGTATATGGGATAGATTACACTAAGACCTTTTCTCCAGTTGCTAAGATGACTTTGGTGAGAGTTCTTTAATCCTTAGCAATGAGCTATAATTGGCCTCTATATCAATTTGATGCTAGGAATGCATTCCTGAATGGTGATCCCACTGAAGAGGTATATATGTCCCCTCCTGGTATATATGGCAAGGAAATGCAGGGTAAGGTGTGTAGATCGAAGAAATCATTTTATGGCCTGAAACAATCTCCATGTGCTTGGTTTGATAGGTTTAGGGCTGCTCTTGTTCTGTTTGGCTACACTCAGACTCAATCAGATCATACCCTCTTTGTTAAGAGAAAAGGCACTCTGGTGACATTTCTTATAGTTTATTTAGATGATACTGTTGTTACTAGCAGTGATATAGAAGAAGTTAGTGCTCTCAAGAAATTTCTCAGTTCTGAATTTGAAATTAAAGATTTAGGGGAGTTGCAGTATTTTCTGGGCATTGAGGTTGCTAGGTCCAAGGAAGGTATCTTTATTTCTCAACGGAAGTATGTGCTAGACCTTCTTATTGAGACTAGAAAACTTGGTGCTAAACTTGCCTATACCCCTATTGATGTAAGCCATAAACTCTCAGCTAATAATGGAGAACTTTTAGTTGACAAGGGAGTGTTTCAGATATTACTGGGGAAACTTCTTTGTCTATGTATGACTCGTCCAAACATTTTATATGCTGTGAGTGTCATCAGCCAGTTCATGCATGCTCCTAGAGACACACATATGGCTACTGAAGAAAGGGTGTTATGCTACCTTAAGGGAACCCCCATGAAGGGTATATTATTTGCTAAACATGGACACATGAAGGTAGAAGCATATACAGATGCTGATTGGGTAGGAAATGTGGATGACAGGAGATCCACATCAGGATATTATGCTATGGTAACTGGAAATATTGTTTCTTGGAGAAGCAAAAAACAATTAGTGGTTGCTAGATCTTCAACTGAGGCAGAGTATAGAGCTATGGCCCATGGTGTTTTTGAGTTGTTATGGCTTAGATCTCTCCTTAATGAGATGGGTATTTCATGTGACGAGCCACTGATGTTGTATTGTGATAATCAAGCTGCTATTAACATTGCTCACAACCCAGTTCAGCATGATAGAACTAAGCACATTGAGGTAGACAAACACTTTACATGGGAGAGAGTGGCTTCAGGAGAGGTGTGCCTACCTTTCATTGCATCAGAAGAGCAGCTAGCAAATTTTCTAACTAAGGGAGTCCCAAAGGCAAATCTTCAACATTATGTATGCAAGTTGGGCATGACTGACATCTATGCTCAGCTTGAGGGGGAGTGTAGTGAGAATGGGCCAAATGGGCCTTAGTGTTCTTTATTTCTTTTAAGTCGTATTTAAAAGTTATATTTCTTAGTTATGGGCTTTATGGGCCTTCTTTTATTTTCTTTAATTATTTCTTTAGTGTTGGCTGCCCCATTAAGGGCATCCAAGTAATTGTACTCAGACTTAGAATTATTAATAAAAGTGATGAAAGGGGGCTAGAGAGAGAGGTTTGAATTCTTCTTTTCTCTCTTCCCTTTTTTTCTTCTTCCACAACCTATTGCTGAAACTTCTTTCTTCTTCTTTCTCTTTCTCTCTTTTCTTATTTTCTTGCATTATCTGAATTACTATAGGTGTAATTTTCAACTAAGCCATACTTATAGTTCATTTCATGTAAAAAAAGAAAAATTGAAGGATGGTATGTACTAATTATGGTGTAAATGAGATTCAGTAAAAGGACTTTCATATTTAAAACAGAAAATGGATGTAAAATGTAAGAAAAAGGCCCATAAAATCTTTCAAAGTTTGTCCTTGAAGTATAAACCAAAATCCTAAGATGCATGAACCAAGGACTGCACTATGGAATTATTAAAAGCAGTAGCAAATATGTATAGCAGGGAACGAACCACATTATTTAACTAAATGAATAACAGTGAAAGTGGACAGAAAGGGTTATGAACAATTTCGGGACAGAATCCTGTACAAACATCTTGAATAAAGGAAGATTATATGTAGTGCTATTTCTTAGATATCTCCTATGCTAGAAAAATATTCACAAAATGAAAATTGGATATTCAAAGTTTCAAACTGCATCTGATATTGAAAATTTATTAATTAAACTAATGTTTGTTAACTAATTAACTGTAGCCAGAGGCRCAAGAGTTAAATGAAAAAAAAAAAAAATTTCTCTTCTTCCAAAGAACAATTAAGAATATAATCATTTTCCATGTAATGTTGGTGTGAAAATCTCTTCTTACTTCAGGATATCTGCACGAGATAGACGGAGTTTCCTTATTGCTTCAAAGGTCCCTCTAGGTACATCTGGAATCTGCCTGGTAATATGGTTGCTGAAGGAGCTAATTAGATTGTCTTTTGATTCATTCTCCATAAAATTTGAAGCAATCTTCTTTCCATTCAGTACATATTCCACAGAAACTCTGTGTTTTTTTGTTCCTTCACAGGTGTTGTTTGCTAGAATATCCTTACCTGGCTTTGAATCCAAAAGGAAATCATTGACAATCGCCTTTCCACTAGAAAATTTCTTGGCATTCTTACAAGCCAAAGCTTTGTCATCCATTCTTGAACTTTGGCTGTCATGGGTTGTGAGTTTAGTGCTGTCCTGGCACTTTCTATCCTTATTTTCTGATAGCCTTAGGTATCTTTCAATCCAATGGGTAATGGTATTATTTTCTGGATTCTGGTGATTTTTATCACTACTTAAGTTAACCAAAGATGCATCACCATCCAAATGACTTTCTCTTTTCAAAGAGACATTGGGGCATGCAACAGCCCAATGGTTGAGCTGGAAGCAGCGGATGCACAAGCATGGAGACTCTTCACAACCTCCATATGAATTGATATTTCTTATGAGATCTTCAATCTCAGATTCAATAATCTCTGAGCAATCTTGTAAGTTATGACCTCTTATGCCACAAAATAGGCATGTTCTGATTACACATGTTGCACTGTCTGCTATTTCTGATGTTATGATGTGTCTGAGAGCATCCAATCTCCTTGCAAAAACTGAAGCCATGTCCTCTGAACTTTTGAATCTTTGTGATGGAAGAATAACTTTCAATTTAGATTTGAACTTCTGATCAAATTGTCCTTCAGTTTCTTTTAAGGCCAAGGAGGCAGAACTATTGACTGCAGATCTATTAAACTTTCTACTTGCAATGTCCATTTGGTGTTCAACAGAGTTCTCCATGGCATCCTCTAAATAGTTTTGGTCTTTGGTTACTATACAGTTCTGAGGATGAGGAAGAATCCCGGTTCCCTCGGAGCAATACTCGGCAGGTATATCTGCATTCTCCTTGCATATAGGTGAACTTGACTCAGAGTTAGGAACTTTCAGAGAAAACCGAGTTATCCATGAACTCCCAAGGAAGCTGCTTCTGTTGGGGACAGAAGTTGAAGACTTATTTGGATCAATGAAACCAAATTTACACGTTTCTTTCCCTTCATATGGAGATTCAGAATCCTTACGGAATGATGAAGTTGAAGAGCTCACTCTACACTTGACAGTGCCAGATGCAATTTTGCCTGAATTATTATTCTCAGCACCATCACTCTTGTGGTTAACCATAGGAAAAGCAGTATGTGCAGAAGAAATATCTGCTACATTTGAATTACCTTCTCTGTGCTGAGACATCTCCAAGTTAAAATTTTCACTTGGCACAATACTTTGTTTATGTAATTTATCATCTTCACCACAGGCCGGAAGAGTAAAATTGTTGTCACGTACTTCATCAACTAGCTCAGGTTCTTTAGGGATTTCTCCTGATTGATGAACAAGATTCAATGTTCTTGTTTCCTGTACCATTTTGTTTGGGGAACACAAGGCCCGGAACATAGTTTGGAAGCCCATACTTCCATATCCAGGATTTTGGTTGTCGTGTGACATAGAATGTTGATCAAAACACCCATGTCCATGATGAGGCCTTACAGTAAGGGCCAACGAAGATGGGACATCTGGATCAGTCTGAGATAATCCCTTCATCATATTTGAGATCCAAGTCATAAAGGAGCTATGCTGTTTCATTAAAGATGAAGAACCAGGATTTTCATGGATCTGTTTCTTCAGCCTTTTATCCCCAACAACTAATTTCTGTTCAAAGCTCCATGGTCGCTTTCCTGCTGAAGACAAACCTGCACTGTTACAGCTTTCAACACTCTCATGGCTGTCATCCTCCTCTTTTGGTATTTTAATTTCTTCACCATACAAAAACTTATCTTTATCTTCTCTTTGATGAAGGCAGAGTTCCCTGTTATTTGGAGAAGTTTCACTTGAAGCACCTTGCTCCTTTAGAAGTTTCCTCTTATTCTGCTGTTTTACATGTTTAATTTCATCAGAAGGTTTTGGTGTTAAAATTACATCAACCTCTGCACATGTACTTTCACCCTTCAGAGGTTCTAAAGCATTTTCATCAGTCAGCTCACATTTCTCCAGACTGAAATCAGTAAGCTTCATTTTATTTTTTCCTTCTTCATCATTATCTGAAGCTAGTCTTCCACGTTTTCTACTTGGAGCTGTCAAAATTGGTGCTGCGGAATTGAGAGATTTACATTGTCTTACTGGAAAACCTTCAGAGGCTGATGCAACTTCAATGTCTTCTGTATCATTATTCCCATTGCCAACTCTAGTTGTAACAAAAGGGTCAGAGCTTGTTTCCTTGTGGACATATCTGGATCTTGATTCTGCTTGACTTGAATCATGTTTTTGTTCATCTTGTTTAGATAAAAAATGAGCAGTTTCACCATTTTCTGGACCTGTGAGAAATTCTGATCTCGTCTAAGATGCCATTTTGACAGGAAATCAGGAAAAGAATGCCATCAAACACTTACCTGGGATGCAAGTATTATTGGGTAAACTTGAAATAGTATTTGCCTCAGTTTTTGATGTCTCAGTTGGAATATAGGCTGCAAAGCTTTTGTCCTTCTCTTTGTGGTCTGAATGATCAAGCAACTTCTGACTAGTATCAAGGACAGATGTTTCCTTTGTTGTGTTCAACACTTCCATGTCTCCACCAGATCCTGCCAACACACCAAAAATTCTAGGATTGAAACTCCATATACAATCAGTTGATGAAAAGGTCATCAAGACATTGGAATAGAGATTTCCCATGAATTCATAAGCTTAGAACTTGTAATCTGACTCTATTCAGCATATGCAATTTCATTGCATTGATAACTGGAAGTCCTTGAAAAAGGAGTATAATTACCCATAGTGTGCTCATCGCTTGCTTTCCCACTGACTGATGTTATGTCCATGGTGCTTCTAGGAGACCTAACCCTGTCAGTGCTGCATACAAAATGGGAAGCCATTCCTAATGAGGTTGAAGTACCTCCAGCCTCATGTCCATCATTATTAATTTCCTTTGATTTAATGCTTTGGGGTAGTGAAAGTACCATATTACTTCCTCCTCCCCACAAAATAGAGGGCTTCCTCTCAGCAAAGCTGCACTCAGCACATTTAAGACTCAAACCTCTATGTGGGGACCAGACTAGTTCCGAGAGAGGGTTTGCAGTCACAAACATCATGTCTGACCTTGAAGCTGCATTTGCACCTGCACCAGAATCATCATTTAATCCTCTTTCAGTGCACTGATTAGAAGAATCTGGAGTAAGTCGAAGTTCTTTCATTGATTCGTCATTATTATTCTCAACATTTATCTTTGGCAATATGGCTAGTTCAGGAGGAAATCCTGGAAGGCCAACTGAATCCAAAGCAGTAATTTCCATGCCTATAAACCAGTGCCTGCAACAAACATAAAAAAAATGTTTTTCTCTGTCTAAAAATGAATTTCATCAAAAAAATAAAGAGAAAAAAGAAAGTGAAATTGCAACACACAAAAAAGAAGCAAGCAAATCTGAATGTAACTCTTGTTCCATAACTTACATTATATACCATCTGATAGAAAATAATTACTGAACAGAGCAAATTTGATGAAAAAAAAAACAATACAGTCCAGCTCAGAGCCCATTGTCCAATGATTATTTACAAGCCCAGTGCAGGATTGTTCTCTTTAACCAGCATAGCTTATCCTGTGCCCAAAGAGTTCTTTGGGTTCTTTGAAATGTTATTAGAACTAACGTATATTTTCAGACTTATTTATTTTTTCTGGTTAAGATTTCTATTTGAGTTTGGATTTGAATTAGCAAATTTAAATATTGTAAATGATGCTTTGTACTATTTTAGGAGAGTTCCTTCTAGAGTAGAAAGTGCAAACAGTATTCATGGAAGATTGGAGTTCTCTAAAGAGGCTGCTACCCACCGTAAATAACATGGTAATGCTTCTGCCACTAGATACTGTGCAGAAACTTCCAGAGTATAATTTTATCATTTCTAATCATGCTTATTGTAGTTGTCTGAAGCTCATAGTAATTTGAACTCAACAAAACTTAGTGAATAAATTAACTACATTTTGCAAAGATATAAAATGAAATGGACACTTCGCTTAAAATAAACCTAAACTAAAATATTTTCAGCATATTGGATTGGATATGCATATTTTTGATTTAATGATTTTGAGAAACAATGAATCCTATCTCTATTCTTGGCATCTCTTTAAGCATCTATATTTTGTATCTGTACCTTTACATCTTAGTACCAATCTTGTTGGAGCTACAATCTCAAATAAGCCTTCATGAATCAATAAATAATAATTTTTATCCTTGCTTACTTTAAAAGAGATGGTATTATCCTTGCTTTCTTTAAAAAGGAATGCTATTTGAGCAAGTTCACCACTTTAAAGACTTCCATAAACACAAACTTTGCAGCTAATAGAAATATCCTTAATGAAGCTTTTCCCTTGAGGAAATTGATCATAAGTACCAAGACCACCTTAAAACATCCATGCATAAAAGGTACTTGAATAGCCATGTGTCATCACTAGTCCCTTCTAATTAACACAACTATATGATAGACTTGAAGTGATAACTTATTGATTTCAAAAATGTTGAAACTCCAAAATAATTGAACATTCAGAATTGATTCTTGCCTTTGATATAAAATGGCATAAATTTGTTTGTATATCTATATTCATATCTATGTGCAGGAGTTCCATATAATAATAGTGGCAATACCACACAACCATGTACGATTTCATAGAAGTGTGAGCATGTTAAACAATGTCAAACAAGAAATGCAAGAAGTTGTTAATCCTATAAAGTTAAAAGAGATTTGAAAAGAACCATTCATGGAAAAGTATTTTTAATGTACTTTAATTTAGGAGCAACAACAAAGGTATCAAAAAGAGATAATTTAGATCCATTTTTTTCCTTATCCTTCTTCTCTTCTCCAACCAGAAACAAACACTATGAAGTGGTAATAATATTTGGGATGCAGATAACTACGTATTTATTTCTGTAGGTATATTCCTGTATTATTACTTTCTCTAAGCAGTCCTACAATTCCACCTTTCTCCTTATGATTGAACGAATCCTCATCTTCCTTAAATATTCTACCTTACAAAGTGGTATTTTCAACTAGTAGGAAGTAAATTAAATTCTCAAGTTGCAGTATAGGTATCAATTCACTAAACCCCATAAAAACATCCAATAATATTCCTTTAAAGTATGGTGAAACATACATACCAATCCACAAGTAAAGTAGAAACCTCTGATCCTTGACCTTTATTGGCAAACAGATCTTTGATCTCAAAAACTGACTTTCCATTCCCAAAACTTAGTGACCTTGAATGCATTTACTCCCACCAAAAGTAAAAAAGCACATGTATTCATGCAGAATTCTATTGAAACAAACCAAAAATTTAATCACGCCCATCATACCATACTAAGCTACCCACAAAATCCAGAACAGGACAAAGCATTCGACAGAATTAAAACACAACCCTATAAGGATCTCAGTTTTGCATCTTTTAAATAGTAAAATATACAATTAAGATAGACTCACGCAATAGAATCTAACTATTGCAGTCAGGATAAGTTCGAAACTTTTACTTCAGAATCCTGAAGAAAAAGAAAAAGGAATTCAAGAACAAATAGCACAAAATCAGAAAAAGAAAATCACAAGAGAAATAGAATCCTAGTCAAGAAACCAAAATCCCATAAAAGAAAACAGCGGAGAGGAATACCATTATCATTCAACGCAATGCAAGTAGTACCACCAGAGGTTCCATATTTCTAGAGAGAGAGAGGGGGGGGGGAGGGAGAAATCCCGGAAAAAATGTAGCTAAAAAGCCAAAGTAGTTAAAACTGAACATAGCCATTAAAGAGAAAAGAGAAATACGAAGTACCCACATACCTCTTTTAAGTCTTCAATACCATCAAAACTTCATTTTCAAGTTCATGCTTTGCCTGAAATTCTATGTCCTACTGAAAACGTATATGGTAGTTTGATATTTAACAGAAAAAAGAAAAAAAAACTAGAAAAATGTCGTAAGATTTGACTGAGGACAAAGGTGTCTGTGTGTTAGAGAGAGAGAGGCATGATACCGGTAACAATATAACCACAGTCGCGACTGGAACTATCAGCTTACCTTTCTAATACTTGCAAAGTTTTAGAGGCTAAGAATATGCCACGTGGTTATATTTGCTACCAGTAACAGTCTACTGATTCATATTCCACTAACATACTAATGCCCTCTTGTTTCTTTTCTAGAGTCAAATGGATAAACGTCTTAAAAGTCAGCTTTTCCGTTCCAACTTCTGCTAACTGCAGAGCAATTGCTTTCAGCTTAAAAAAACGTTTTTTTTATTAAATCCCCATAAATTTTCTTTTTGTTGAATCTGTTCTTGTCTAGCTACATACAAAGTGATTTATTAATGTTATTTTTTTTTTCATTTCTCTTCCATTTAAATTCTAATTAAGCTCTCGTCTGCTTACTGCAATTAATTTTACAGTGGATAACTGTTGACGTGGAAAATTTTTTCTGGCTTGTTGACATATATGAATAGCCAGTAGGATGCATATATGAGACCTGTTTGCCATACTATTACAAAGAACCTATGAGTATATAATATTAACCTATAGCTTTGCCTTTTATTTGCACATGCGCATGACCGGGTGTCTTTACATTAATAAAACGTTACGTACATATATATATATATAATGTACAATAATGTGTGAATGGAGTACTTACAAGAGTAAATATGTACAATAATGTATAAAGAGGTATATAAAAGAGCCAAATAAAAGTAAAATTACAAAGTTATTCCTCATATTAATGTTTAGGTAAGAGCATTAGTTTGCCTACAATAAAACTATGTGAGTACATGTCATAGCCTTAGTGAAGAGATCAACCAACGGGAGATTGGAGGACACATGAGGTAGTGTGATGTGACTAGTAGTGAGAAAATCTCGAATGAAATGACAATTCATCTCTATGTGCATAATCCGTTCATGCAAAATTGGATTTGAAGCAATTTTAATTGCACTCATGTTAGCAAATAAAGGAATAAGAGCTGAGTGATCAATGGTCAAATCATAAAAAAGAGCTTTAAACAAGACAAGCTCAGTGCAAATAGAGGACATGGCACGGTATTCGACTTCAGTAGATGATGTGGAGACTGTTTCTTCTTGCACTTCCGAGAGATAAGGGAATCACCTAAGAAAACACACCAGCCAGTGGTAGACTGTTTGGTTAGGGGTGTTCACATTAAATGTCAAATCGACCAAACCGGCCCGATCCAACCCGAGTTGGTTAGTTTTTCAAAACCACCGGTCGGTTTTGGTTTGTATGAGAAAATAAACTGACACAACTGAACCGATCCTATATGTTCAAGTAATTATTAAATAATCCCTACCCTATATGTTAAATGTCGATATATTTTATTTGTGTTTTGTTTGAACTTTGAAAAAAATTGGTTATTTATGATAAATAATCAAAACGTAAAACCAATACAAATATAATACAATGGTTAATTCAGTTTTGTATAAATTTAAATATATGTTGACAAAAAAAATCAGTTTTGCATAAAAACTAATCGATTTAAATATATATTTTGATTTTGTAGAAAAACTAAAAAGAAATAAACTTAAATATAAATAGATATTTTAGTTCAAAATATATATAAAAACTGACTAAACTGATAAACTGACCCAAACCGACCCTTCATGTTTAGGTCGGTTTTGCTTCATGGTCAGTCGATTTTGGTTTATTCAATAAGTAAACTGACTAGGTCGGGTCGGTTGAAGAAAATTACTCAAACCGACCCAACCTAATCCGCGAACACCCCTACGTCTAGTGTCAGGACAACCATCCCAATCAGCATTAGCATAAGCAATCAACTGAGGAGATGAGAAGAAAAGTCCATGAGATAAGGTGCCTCTAACATATCTGATAATCTAAAGCACGACAGAGAAACGAGGTTGTCGAGGAGCTGATACAAACTAGCTGACTATCAGCATAGCATATGATATATCTGGCCAAGTCATAGTAAGGTAAATAAGGCTTCAAACAAGTTGATGATTTATGTAGCATCATGAAGAAGTTGTCTATCATCCTTACTGAACTTTAGGTTGAGTTCTAACGGGGTATCAACTTGCTTCGAGTTAGAGAGATTGGCCATCTTTTTAATCAAGTCACTAGCATATTTGCGCTGATTAACAAAATATCCTCGAGCACTTCGAGTGATCTCAAGACCAAGAAAATAGGTCAAAGGACCAAGATCCTTCGCTTTGAAGGATTGATTGAGAAGCTGCTTCAACTGAGTGATCCCTTCCAAGTCATCACCAGTAATGAGTATATCATCAATGTACACTAGTAGGAGAGTCACTCCTTGGGGATGACGAAGAATAATGAGGGAATAATTTAAGGCACTCTACTAAAATCATGCTTCAATAATAACCCCTTTGAACTTCTCAAATCAGGACCATGGGGCTTGCTTAAGCCCATACAAGGACTTCTTAAGTTTGTAGACTAAAATAGAATCATCATAATAGCCTAGAGGAGGCTTCATATACATTGTCTCATGGAGATTCCCATGAAGAAAGGCATCTTTGACATCCATTTGATGAATAGTCCATTGTTTAATAGCAGCAATAACAAGAATAAGCTAAACAATAGTCATCTTAGCCACTGGTGCAAACATCTCCTCATAGTCAATGCCATGTTCCTGTTTGTACCCTTGAGCAACAAGGCGAGCTTTATATTTATCCAAACTCCCATTAGAATTCATTTTGACTGAGTACACCCAATGATTTCCAATAATGGAGGCATTTGGTGGAGGAGAAACAAGCCTCTAAGTATCATTTTCTAATAGGGCCTGAATTTCCAAGTCCATTACAACTTTCCAATGCCCAATTGTTGTAGCCTGTCAGTAAGACTTGGAGATATATGTGGAAGAAAAAGTAGAAAAAAGGGAACTATGGATAGAAGAATATCCATAGTTGTCAGGAGGACAAGTAACTCTAGAGGAGCATCGTAAAGGAGTGGGAGTGAGAGGTAAAGGATTACTTACATGAGAAGTAGATGTGGATGGTATAGGGTCTAAGGATGTCAAAGGAATAACCATCGGGGTCGATGAAGGAGGAGGAGGCATAGGCGTTGGTGCAGCGTGATACTTCCTATGATAGACTTGAAAAGGCAAGATTGAATCACCTGTAGAAGTAAAGTAATGCAAAATAGAGAAAGATGGTGTAGGTAATTTAACAACATATTCAAAGAATGGCAAATTCTCAAGAAAGATAACACTTTGAGATATATGGAGACAATGAACTTTAGGATCATAAAAATAAATCCTTTATGTTCTAAATTGTACCCTATAAAGGCACACATAGTTGATTGAACAGTAAGCTTAGTGCGCTCATGGGGAGGAAGATGCACAAAACAAATGCAACAAAAAATATGAAGTGTAGAGTATTTTGTAGAATGATGAAAGAGACAATAGAAAGGTGATTGATTACCAAGAACTAAAGATGGAATGATGTTAATGAGATACACAATAGTGCTGGCCGCCTCCACCTAAAAGGTAACAGGAACATGAGAGTCAATCAAAAGGGATCTCACCATATTCAAGATGTATAGGTTCTTGCATTCAATAACTCCATTTTGTTGAGGAGTTCTTGGACAAGATCTTTGGGGTAGAATTCCATGTTTCGTTAAATAGGTTTGAGATTCTCCATTTTCCCCATCAAAATATTCTCCCCCTGAGCCAAAATGTAGAATACGAATGGTGGCATAATGTTGGGTCATTATCATGGTGTGAAAGTTCTGAAAGGTGGAAAGTACTTCTGATTTCTTCTAGAGGAAATAAATCCAGGTATATCTAGTGAAATGATCAATAAATAAAACAAAGTATTTGTATCCAAGTCTAAATATAATAGGAGATGACCAAGCATCACTATGTATTACTTGGAAAGGAATAGTAGCATGAACAAATGAAAATGGAATTGGTAAAATATGGCTTTTACTAAGACCACATGTTATGTAAGATTTATCAAAATTCTTATAAACAAAATTAACAGTAGGTAAACAACCAAAGGAAAATAAATGATCCAAATTCTTAGCCTGTGTGTGGCCTAAATGTCTATGCCATAAATGCCACACATTATTACAATGAGAATGTAAAACATCACTAGTAGTAGAAAGAAAACAAGAAGTTGAGGATGAAGGTCTCTTCTTGAACTCAAGAGCAAACAAACTCCCAAGCCTACTTTCCTTCCCCTTCACCTCACCGGTGCACTGATCCTATATAACACAACCATCATGAAAAAACAAAAACATGTTACCATCACCAAGTTGACCCATAGAAATAAGGTTGGTAGTTAATTTGGGAGATGAAAGGAAGATGATTGAGAGGTAGAAATAAATAAATCATCACAACTAACAATGTTTAACGACTCACCACTAGTAGTAATAATCTGGTCATTAGAAGAGTAGGGTTTAGGACTCTGACCAAAGGAGGCCCCGGTCATATGATTTGAGGCTCTAGAATCTATAATCCACATATGGATAGGAGAGGAGCAAGTAGTAGAAGACTTACTAGATAGGTAGATAGTAGAGAAGGCAAATAAAATAGTTGAAGGCATAAGTTGTCGTATCTTATCCTCAGTTAGAGTACTAGAAGGCTCCCCCTTTCAATATGAGTTGGATGAGACAATAATATCATATAAAGACTCTGTAATTGTCTGAAGTTCTTTGTATTGACCCTTCTTGAGAGGTTGAGTGGGGCATTCAGTAATAATGTGACCCTTTTGTTTGTAGTAGGTACAAAAATTCATTTTCTTACAATGAGAGGCCACATGTCCAAACTCCTTGCACTCATAGCATCTTGGAAAAGTTATTTTTGCCCTTTGGCTTGGTAGCTAGAAATACTGTATCAAGTCTATGTTCTTTCTTGCTGTCAAGGGAGGATTGTGTGTACAGTCTAGTCTCCTCCCTTAATAGTTCACCCAACATGGTGTCTAAGTCAGTCCCATTTTCCCTACTGAGTATGCTAGATCTTATCAACTCATAGTCRGGTCTAAGATGCATAAGAAAATGCATAATCTTCCTTTGATCGAAATTCCTTTTCATAGTTGTCAC